TCACGCCATCGCACGCTTGCCTGTGCCGTGCCTTCGCCTGCACGTGGCGCCCTTGCCTTGTGTTTGCGGCCGCCGTCGCGGCACGCCGCAGCGCGCTTGGGGGTGCGCCCTTCGCGCGCTGCCGCCGCGCGCCTTGTCGTTGCGGCCGCCTTGTGACGGCCTCTTCGTGCCGTGCGCGCGTGCGACGCTTGCGCGCTGGCGCGTGCCGCTTGTACTTGCGACGCGCGCCTTGTGTGGCGACGTGGCTGTGCCGCTGCGCACCGCGCCGACGCGCGCGACGCCGGCCTGCGCTGCGCGCCCCGCTGGCCCGCAGCAGCCGCGCGCCTTGTGACGCGCCGCCTTGTGCCGCGCATGCCTTGCCTTGTGGACGCTGACGGCGCCCGCGCGCTTGCGTGACGCGCGCGCGCGACCACGCGCCTGACGCACGGCGCGGCCCGTGCCGGCGCGCGCGCCGCGACGCGTGGCGCCGCAGCGCCTGCGGCGCCGTGCAGCGCGCGCTACGACGCGCGCCGCGCGTGCCGTGGTGGCGCGCGACGCTTGTTGTCGTGTGTTCTGCCAGCTGCCGTGCGACGCCGCGCGCCTTCTCGCGCGTCTCGGCGCGTGCGCCGCGCGCGCTCCCCCGCGCCTGCGCGTCCGTTGCCTTGCGCGCTCACGCCGCACACACACACACACACACACACACACACACACACACACACACACACACACACACACACACACACACACACACACACACACACACACACACACACACACACACACACACACACACACACACACACACACACACACACACACACACACACACACACACACACACACACACACACACACACACACACACACACACACACACACACACACACACACACACACACACACACACACACACACACACACACACACACACACACACACACACACACACACACACACACACACACACACACACACACACACACACACACACACACACACACACACACACACACACACACACACACACACACACACACACACACACACACACACACACACACACACACACACACACACACACACACACACACACACACACACACACACACACACACACACACACACACACACACACACACACACACACACACACACACACACACACACACACACACACACACACACACACACACACACACACACACACACACACACACACACACACACACACACACACACACACACACACACACACACACACACACACACACACACACACACACACACACACACACACACACACACACACACACACACACACACACACACACACACACACACACACACACACACACACACACACACACACACACACACACACACACACACACACACACACACACACACACACACACACACACACACACACACACACACACACACACACACACACACACACACACACACACACACACACACACACACACACACACACACACACACACACACACACACACACACACACACACACACACACACACACACACACACACACACACACACACACACACACACACACACACACACACACACACACACACACACACACACAATTACGTATTATGATATATTCTATGAATCTAATTATAAAGAACTTATTACCTAACAATAAAGTTTAAATTATTGAGAATAGTAGGTAAATTATAAACATTGACATACCGGTATCGGCGTAGAAATAAAACATAATAAAAGTTTAGTTCTATAAAATGTCATTATAAATATTAGATGTGAATAAAATAATATTATGTTAATTTAATAATAATAATAATAATAATAATAGTACTTCTTAACAAATTGTGAAGTATAACTTATTAATAAAGTATAATTTTTTGTGAATAGTAATTACATACATTTGAAATTAGAGCATAATTTTTTTTTTTAAATTAACAGCCGTTATCTTACTAAATAACTATTGATCCGCCCCCACTTCGCACTGATGATCTCTGAAACTCGACAACAGCGCCACCTACTGGGTTCAATTGTAACTCGTTTAGATCATCCAGGCATCCAATCAAACGCTCACAAAAAAAATATGAAAATCGTTGGGACCTTTTTAGAGTTTTATACTAACGGACAGCAATTGATTTATATAAATAGAGATATGTCTCTCTTTATTATAACTTGTTCAAAGCAAAGAAGTTATTCATTAAATCACAGATTAAAAAAATAAAAAAAAATATATACTTGTAGAGAATGTAAGCCATATTGTGTGCATGTGACAAAACTAAGCTCTGACAGTTGTGTTCATAGATAATGTACTACATAGAGTCGTGTTGTCATTCAATAAAAGGTATTATTAGGTTTCATTTGTGTTTTAGTGGTGAAATCCCCATAAATACACAATTTTGGCAACGAAGACCTTATTCACGCATTATTGAGTGCAATAAAGTTAAATATTTTCTGTGCCTACGTGGATGTAAGATGTGGAAGATCATACACCTTCCTTGTTCGACCTTCTGCTGACCTCTCATCCGGACGGATATCAGGTTTCCGTCGTCGCTCCTCTCGGCTGTCTGATCTGGAGTGTGGTGCCACTCACGCTCCGTTCGCGGTTACGTTCTGTACGGTGCCGCCATGTTTGGTATTACATGTCGGCGGATTGGGATGGAATGCGCTCTTTCTCTGTCGCCGGATAATCCAGGTAATGGAACTGTTTATTACATCATCTGTGTTAGGTACTCATTAGAGGCAGATCTCAACCTTGGTTTGATCGTTCCTGTAAGACTGCATAACGCCGTAAGCAGGAATGTTATTAGGGTTTTTTTACATGGGGGAATGCCTACGCATACCCGCCTCACGGAGGCGAGGACGGATTGTGTCGGACTCACACCGACTAAAACCCCATGGTGTTCCACCTTCGCTGTCAACATATCGAATGGCGTACAGTTTCGTGGTCACTGGGAAGACAAGGCCAAATTGGCCTCTAAAAAGCTTGGCGTGCTTAGCAGAGTGGGACAGTATTTCATGCTAGCACACCGCCTGCAACTTAACAAGGCGCAGGTTTGGCCTCACGTGGAACACTATCCCCATCTCTGGGCCAGGGCTCCCCAGTTCCTACTCCTTCCATTTGATCGCATCCAGAGTAGAGTGTCGGCAATAGAGCACTTTCTGATCGGCTTGACTCACTGGCGCATCGAAGAGCTGTTACATCTTTTTGCGTATTCTATCGTATTTACCACGGGGAGTGCTTAGAGGAATTGTTCGGAATAATTTCAGCCGCACGATTTAACCATCGCACATGACGACAGAATCCGAGATACTCCGAGATACTAATCCGAGATATCTCTACCACCTGGATGTGTGTATGTGTGTGTGTGTGTGTGTGTGTGTGTGTGTGTGTGTGTGTGTGTACTTGTGGAATCGAGTACTACAGTAATTCTAAGAAAATCATTTGATTATTTTACTTTTTACACAAAGCTCATAGTTTGTTATGTAATTCTAAGAGATTGGGGTTACAATGTATGTGTGATTTATTTTTATTTTTATGAAACCGAAGATCTTTGACGGTATGTGTAGCTTGTGAAAATTCTTTTAATGTTATTTTTTTATTATTTTATCTTCAAGGAAAATATTAATTTTATTCCAATACATAACACATATTAATCTTACATTTAACAATAAAGTTTCCACAATTAAGTAACTCATCGACAACAAGCTAACATCCTGACATACATACTCAGGTGTGTAAAACTAAAGTTAAGTCAAAGTAAAGTGTAATATTAGAGTGAAATATTAATTTTAACTATTACCCATAACAGTTTCTATTTCCTTTTTAAACTGTCCATATGACACAGAAAATACATCAACATGTGAAAAGTTGCTATTATAAGATTTACATGCACGAGTTATAGATAACATTTAGTGTGCATAGTAGAAGTACAAAATAAAAGTTTCTTTCCAGCAGTTATCCTTTGGCATCTGAAATTTATTTCACATAGAAGTGGTATGGAGTCAACCCTATTATGAATGATTTTATGTTAAAACATCTGATCCCTGAAAGTACGGCGAGATTTTAAGGCAGAGACTAATCTACACAAAATAGAGGTATCACCGGCTGATCTAAATTGGATATGCTTCAGAATTTTATTGTGATTTTTTTCAATTGGCTCCATATAAATATTATATTGAGGATTCCAAACTATTGAGCAATATTCTTATATTGAGCGGACCAATGAGTTATATAGAATAATAAGAGTTGAGGGTTTTTTAAAGTTTTTAGTAATTCGTAAGACAAATCCGAGCATCTTATATGACTTGTTAACTATGTATTTCATCAATATGAGATTTACTCGGCAACTCGCAACTTGTTTACTCGACATATCGACACATTATCTTATAAACAAATTCTATAGGTTTGTTTTCCTGCCGAAAAAATTATAATTTACTTAGTCGGATCATAAGTTCTGTCCAAACCTTATTATTTAAAAATTTTGAAAACTGGCTAGATGAACTTCACCATTTTTAAAAACATAACGTTTGTGCTTGCCGAAAATAAAAAGACATTAATTTTCATTTATTTTCAAATATGGAGTGGTTGAAGAAAGAAGATGGAGAGTAGCGATTATCGCGTTGCACCCCTGTGGTTATGCGTTAAAAGAGATTTTCAATATTCTACAAAAAAGATTCAAGCTTCGAGGATCGTCAGGGGACCGGCCGACCTCGTACAGTTAGGATACCCGCGATCATCAAAGCAGTGAAGGCGCGAATCCAACGAACTCCTGTTCGTAAACAAAAAACCTTAGCTCTTCAGATGGGCCTAAGCAGAAACACGGTCAAAAGAGTGATCAATGATGACATAGGACTACGAGCTTATCGTAAGAAGACCAGAAATTTTTTGTACGAGCGTTTGAAAAAAAAAATAGATTGGATAGATCCCGCGCTTTGTTACGGCGGTACGCGGCAAAAATACCGCGAAATGTGGTTTTCGAATGAAAATTTTTTAACATCGAAGAAAGTTATAATGAACAAAATGATAAGGTGTATACCCACAGCAGTGAAAAAGCCAGCACGCGTATTCCGAGGGTTCAACAAGCTCATTATCCTTCTTCACTCATGGTTTGGCTTGGAGTCTCATATTCAGGCTTAACTGAGGTGTTTTTCTGTGAAAAAGGTGTAAAAACCAGTGCCGAGGTGTACCAAAATAACGTTCTAATAAACATAGTGGAACCTCTTTCTCAAACAATGTTCAAAATCAGACATTGGATATTCCAACAGGACTCTGCACCAGCTCATAAGGCACGAAGTATGCAACACTGGTTGACTGCCCATGGAAATAACTTTATCGGACATGGAGACTGGCCCTCTTCTAGCCCAGATTTAAGCCCACTGGATTATAAGATATGGCAAAATTTGAAGTAGAAAGTCTGCGCTAAACCTCATCAGAATTTGGAATCTCTCCGAGCATCTTTGGCTAAAGCAGCGGCAGAAATAGATATGAGTGTGGTGCGTGCTGCGATTGATGATTGGCCGTGTCGATTAAGGGCATGTATTCAAAATAGGGGAGGGCATTTTGAATATCGTAAATAAAATTGTCTTCTAAATTAAATTATCTAAATTTTTATTTTTATTATTTTTTATATTATATTTTTATTATTTTATGAAATAAAAATAATTGTTTTTTCTTAATAAAAATTGACGTTTCATGTACAAACACTAATGTATTTTCTTTTTATTAAATCTAGAAACTTCATTCAATTATTTGTGGTAAAATCTATTTTTAATTTGTATTCTGGTAAAAAAATCTCAAATTGCTCAAATTCTTCAAAAATATTGAATTATGACTTTTTTCTCGTTCTTACATCGATCTGTTTTTGTTGGTAATTTTTTCCGTTAGTGATGTTTATTTTTACTCAGCGACACTAAGGAAATAATAAATAAACAGTAAACAGTAGTAATAAAGAGTTTTTTTACCGATAGGATGTAAAGTAGAGATGGGCCGAATATTCGTTTCATATTCGGTATTCGGCAATACAATAATGCATTTCGGGTGCTAATAGGGCTGTCTAGGTTTTGCAGCGCATCAGGGATGTTCGATGAAGCGTTAGTGGATCGCTTTTACGCGATCATACGTAAACGGTGTACATCCCTGGTACGTAGGATTCGTGCTAGCTCCAACCGCATCCTAGTGATGTTCTCGAATAGAGTTGACTGTCAGTACCTGAACCATTGTTGCATGTTTCATGTACTGGCAAATAAATAATTCTAACCATTGTTGATTTCGGGTTGAAAGATTTTTATTTTTTCTCTAATTTATTCTTATTCAACTTTTCTTTATTATTATAATTAATTACTATAAATTGGCTATAAAAGTAAAGTTACAGCCTATATACGTCCCACAGCTGGGCCAGGCCTCCCCTAATTTCTGAGAGGGTTTTAGGGCAAGGAAGTGTCCGCCGCGCTACCCCGATGCGTGTTGGCGAACTTCACATGTCTTCGAAATATTTTTTTCTTATTCCTCAGACATGCAGGTTTCCTCACGATATTTTCCTTCACCGCCGAGCACGTGGTAAATCAGCACTTAAAATTGCAACTAACAATTTCATTAGTGACGGCGGGGATTGAACCCGGGTTACTCGCGTTCTGTTATATTTACAGCGAGCGTTAACCATCTGAGCTACCACGGCTCATAAATTCAAATCGTAAATTGGCTATGTTATCAGTTATTATATAATTATACTGATTATGTTATATTATCCTTGTTGGTCGAGATATTAAAAATCGTGGTAAAGATATTATTATTATTGTTATAAGCGGCAGCTTTATCGAATATTGGTATTCGGCCGAATATTTGGCTAAATCACCGAATATTCTTTAAATTGATACTCAAAGTGTCCATTGAATTATGCGAATTGAGTAATGCCATGTCTTTCATAATTTTACTGTTGAAAGTATATTTTATTTATGGGTTAAATCTACTTGTATAGCGTTCTGTTTTTGAGGCACTGTAGATTTATTTCCAATTATAGCAAATAGAGAGCTTGATAAAATGTTTTTGGAATCAAACAAAGAAACATTACATTACATTGGTACATTTCACTTTACAGTATTCGTCAGTTTCTCTAAAATAAGTCCAAATAGTAGATCTCCCGCAACTCATTTTTATCATATAATTATAAATTTTCACTAAGTATAACACAACGAAATAAATTTTTTTTTCACAAAAATAGTCTAAACATAAGCTTGTGTCGGCAATTTACTCAGTACTAGATAGTGAGAGAGGCGCAGGTGCCGGCACTAATCCCGCGCGCTGTACGGTAATGAGTTTAGACATAAATTGGTGAGGTACCGAGGTGATCTTGCCGAATAATGTTCTTTCGGCCGAATATTCGTATTCGATAAAATCCATATTTGGACCATCTCTAATAAACAGTAAAATTAGGATGTTGTTTTTTTTTTTTCAAAATTTTAAACTTTAATTCGCTGTGTAAATACTAGGAACAGACACAACAAGCGAGTAGCAAGTAGGGTCAATTAACATAGAGTTCGCGATTAATTGTTAGGGCAATTTTTTTATAGAAGAGGGGGCAAACGAACATATGGTTCACCAGATGATAAATAGCTACCGGCTCCCATGAACAACCGCAACACGAGGGGAATTGCAGCTGCATTGCCGGCGCTTTAGAAAGGAGTAAGCTCTTTTCTTGAAGGTTCCTAGGTCGTATCGGTCCGGAAAAATCGCCAGTGGTAAGCTATTCCACAGAGAGGTCGTACGCGGAAGAAAACTCCTTGTGAAACGTACAGTGGTGGACCGCCAAGCATCCAGATGGTGTTTATGGTATCGGAAAGTTTGCCGCGTGGTGCGTTCATGAAATTTGGTGGCTGGGATTAATCCGAATAATTCTTCTGAGCACTTCCACTGGTATATGCGAAAGAAAATGCAAAGAAATGTAACATCTCTTCGCAGCGTCAGTGAATCGAGCCGATCGGAAAGCACTCGGTCTTCGACGATTCGAACCGCTCTGCGCTGAATGCAGTCAAGTGGAAGGAGCTGGCATTGGGGAGCCCCAGCCCAGAGATGGGAACAGAATTCCATGTGCCCGAACCTGCACCTTGTAAAATTGCAGGCGGTATTACGGCATAAAATACTGTCCTGCTCTGTTGAGCAGGCCAAGCTTTTTAGAGCCCAATTTGGCGTATACGATTACAACGAAATTCCAAAATTATAATATTAAAGATTATTTTTGATGTTAATAGCCCCTGGGAACGCTGTGGTTGTGTAACATGATATATGACTATAAACTGTTAAAAAAATATGTCCCGCTGGGTTGGTTTGGTTCTTCCCAGGAAATAAGTGTTTTAAAACTATATTTATAATCTATATTTGATTAAAAAAAATCCCATCCACAATTTTCCTAAACGATCATTGGAAATGCCAAAAAGATATTATGACTTTCGATAGATTACGGTATATAACGAGACTAACAACGGGCAGCAGCGTTAAAGATGTGAGATTTCAGGTAATGCTATCGTCAATCCGTCTGCCAAGCGTGACTATAATGGCAAATCCTTCTTTAAACTAGGGAAGCTTACGTCCAATCTTATTTAATATTGACGACTGCACAGGGCGCCATATTTCGACACGTCGGAAGTTCACGGAAGTCATTTAGATCATTTGGTGAAATTGCAGCCGGAGTCGCCTTTTTTTTCAGGGAGCATGTTGTTGATCTGATTGTATTATCTGGACACACGGTAGTGTCACAACTAAGTTCGGAAATGGAAAGGGCGACATACACACTTTTAACTGTATAAAAACCCCTTGAATACTTAGAATCCCAATTTTCGTGAATAAAAGTTATAAGTATATAACTGGGACCAAGCTTCATAGCAGTTACAAAACCGTTGTTCAGTTCTATAGATCGTAATAGAGCTTGGTGCCCGTTCAGATCTCAACTCTTTTATCGTCGAAACCGACAACGCCAAACTTCGTTTTTAGCGAACTTGGCCCCTTTTAACATTTTTGTGTTTGGCAGGATTTGTGTTTTCTAGGCACATTATTTTGATGTTTTCTTGAAAGATTTCTACCACGACCCACACTTTCCAATATTGACGGTGCAGAACATGAGGTATTAGTTGATGGTTTCCGGCCGTTCTGTACGGTGCCGCCATGTTTAGTATTACATGTCGGCGGATTGGGATGGAATGCGCTCTTTCTCTGTAGCCGGATAATCCAGGGAATGGAACTATTTATTACATCATCTGTGTTAGGTACTCATTAGAGGCAGATCTCAACCTTGGTTTGATCGTTCCTGTAAGACTGCATAACGCCGTAAGCAGGAATGTTATTAGGGCTTTTTTTAAGCGGAGGCGAGGACGGGTTGTGTCGGACTCGCACCGACTAAAACCCCATGGTGTTCCGCCTTCGCTGTCAACATATCGAATGGCGTACAGTTTCGTGGTCACTTGGAAGACAAGGCCAAATTGGCCTCTAAAAAGCTTGGCGTGCTTAGCAGAGTGGGACAGTATTTCATGCTAGCACACCGCCTGCAACTTAACAATTCACAGGTTTGGCCTCACGTGGAACACTATCCCCATCTCTGGGCCAGGGCTCCCCAGTTCCTACTCCTTCCATTTGATCGCATCCAGAGTAGAGTGTCGGCAATAGAGCACTTTCTGATCGGCTTGACTCACTGGCGCAGCGAAGAGCTGTTACATCTTTTTGCGTATTCTATCGTATTTACCACGGGGGAGTGCTTAGAGGAATTGTTCGGAATAATTTCAGCCGCACGATTTAACCATCGCACATGACGACAGAATCCGAGATACTATCTTTACCACCTGGATGATTGACGGTCAACTACTGCACGGTAATATTATCTATATAAAATTACCGTGACTACTGTGTGTGTGTGTGTGTGTGTGTACTTGTGGAATCGAGTACCACAGTAATTCTAAGAAAAACATTTGATTATTTTAAAGTTATACAAAGCTCATAGTTTGTTATGTAATTCTAAGTGATTGGGGTTACAATGTAAGTGTGATTTATTTTTATTTTTATGAACACGAAGAACTTTGACGGTATGTGTAGCTTGTGAAAATTCTTTTAATGTTATTTTTTATTATTTTATCTTCAAGGAAAATATTAATTTTATTCTAATACATAACACATATTAATCTTACATTTAACAATAAAGTTTCCACAGTTAAGTCAACTCATCGACAACAAGCTAACATCCTGACATACATACTCAGGTGTGTAAAACTAAAGTTAAGTCAAAGTAAAGTGTAATATTAATTTTAACTATTACCCATAACAGTTTCAATTTCCTTTTTAAACTGTCCATATGACACAGTAAATACATCAACATGTGAAAAGTTGCTATTATAAGATTTACATGCACGAGTTATAGATAACATTTGGAGTGCATAGTAGAAGTACAAAATAAAAGTTTCTTTCCAGCAGTTATCCTTTGGCATCTGAAATTTATTTCACATAGAAGTGGTATGGAGTCAACCCTATTATGAATGATTTTATGTTAAAACATCTGATCCCTGAAAGTACGGCGAGATTTTAAGGCAGAGACTAATCTACACAAAATAGAGGTATCACCGGCTGATCTAAATTGGATATGCTTCAGAATTTTATTGTGAATTTTTTCAATTGGCTCCATATAAATATTATATTGAGGATTCCAAACTATTGAGCAATATTCTAATATTGAGCGGACCAATGAGTTATATAGAATAATAAGAGTTGAGGGTTTTTTAAAGTTTTTAGTAATTCGTAAGACAAATCCGAGCATCTTATATGACTTGTTAACTATTTCATCAATATAAGATTTACTCGGCAACTCGCAACTTGTTTACTCGACATATCGACACATTATCTTATAAACAAATTCTATAGGTTTGTTTTCCTGCCGAAAAAAATTATAATTTACTTAGTCGGGTCATAAGTTCTGTCCAAACCTTATTATTTAAAAATTTTGAAAACTGGCTAGATGAACTTCACCATTTTTAAAAACATAACGTTTGTGCTTGCCGAAAATAAAAAGACATTAATTTTCATTTATTTTCAAATATGGAGTGGTTGAAGAAAGAAGATGGAGAGTAGCGATTATCGCGTTGCACCGCTGTGGTTACGCGTTAAAAGAGATTTTCAATATTCTACAAAACTTGAAAATAAGCCAACGATTTGTTTATCGCACTATCAAACGATTCACTGAAGATTCAAGCTT